GGCGGGAGGGACACACACTCACTATGTGAGTGTTGACAATTATGTGCAGTACGTCAGTATGTGACGTACTCACATAATTCTCCTGGTCGGCATTGGGCTCCATCATATGTACTCGTCTAGCTGTGCTTGCGTGGGTTGAGCTGCGGCTCTTTGGTCCCGCCTCTCAACTGTCAAGCAACTGGATCTTATTTATATTTGAAACTATGTATGGACTCTCCACTGCTTCAGCTGTTGATATATTCCATGTGTCCACTACTGAAACTGACCACATTCTTCCTAAGGAGGTGGAGGCTGGTTTAAGTGCAGTACTCGTTTTTCATCACTCATTACCAATTAACTTAAGAATCTGTTATTCCATACATGTTTTTACAGCGATGCGAGGTTCAATTTCTGTAGCCTTTCCTCGCAACTTAAACCTCTCGGCTCTGGGACTAGTCTGGTGGCATACTTCTGAACTTTCTCCAACATTGTTTTGTGTTCATATATTTGTCTCGCAGGATCGAGGTGTTAGCTCTTGAACCCCGCCTTTCCATTCTTCGGTTGGGGTTTTTTTCTAGGGGGGGGGGGGAGAAGTGAGGTTTGAGAATTTACTTCGTTTACGACCCCCCCCCCCCCAAGAGTCGAATTACTGTTATGTTGGGGTGCAGGGGTGGGGTTTGTTATGTTGGGGTGCAGGGGTGGGGGTGTTATGTTGGGGTGCAGGGGAGGGCTGTTATGTTGGGGTGCAGGGGTGGGGCTGTTATGTTGGGGTTCAGGGGTGGGCTGTTATGTTGGGGTGCAGGGGTGGGCTGTTATGTTGGGGTGCAGGGGTGGGCTGTTATGTTGGGGTGCAGGGGTGGGCTGTTATGTTGGGGTGCAGGGGTGGGCTGTTATGTTGGGGTGCAGGGGTGGGCTGTTATGTTGGGGTGCAGGGGTCAGCAGTTGAGGGCTGTTATGTTGGGGTGCAGGGGTGGGCTGTTATGTTGGGGTGCAGGGGTGGGCTGTTATGTTGGGGTGCAGGGGTCGGGCTGTTATGTTGGGGTGCAGGGGAGGGCTGTTATGTTGGGGTGCAGGGGTGGGGCTGTTATGTTGGGGTTCAGGGGTGGGCTGTTATGTTGGGGTGCAGGGGTGGGCTGTTATGTTGGGGTGCAGGGGTGGGCTGTTATGTTGGGGTGCAGGGGTGGTCTGTTATGTTGGGGTGCAGGGGTGGGGCTGTTATGTTGGGGTGCAGGGGTGGTCTGTTATGTTGGGGTGCAGGGGTGGTCTGTTATGTTGGGGTGCAGGGGTGGGCTGTTATGTTGGGGTGCAAGGGTGAGCTGTTATATTGGGGTGCAGGGGTGGGCTGTTATGTTGGGGTGCAGGGGTGGGGCTGTTATGTTGGGGTGCAGGGGTGGTCTGTTATGTTGGGGTGCAGGGGTGGGGCTGTTATGTTGGGGTGCAGGGGTGGGGGCGTATGTTGGGGTGCAGGGGTGGTCTGTTATGTTGGGGTGCAGGGGTGGTCTGTTATGTTGGGGTGCAGGGGTGGTCTGTTATGTTGGGGTGCAGGGGTGGGCTGTTATGTTGGGGTGCAGAGGTGGGCTGTTATGTTGGGGTGCAGGGTGGGGGTGTTATGTTGGGGTGCAGGGGTGGTCTGTTATGTTGGGGTGCAGGGGTGGTCTGTTATGTTGGGGTGCAGGGGTGGTCTGTTATGTTGGGGTGCAGGGGTGGGGGTGTTATGTTGGGGTGCAGGGGTGGGCTGTTATGTTGGGGTGCAGGGGTGGTCTGTTATGTTGGGGTGCAGGGGTGGTCTGTTATGTTGGGGTGCAGGGGTGGTCTGTTATGTTGGGGTGCAGGGGTGGGGGTGTTATGTTGGGGTGCAGGGGTGGGGCTGTTATGTTGGGGTGCAGGGGTGGTCTGTTATGTTGGGGTGCAGGGGTGGTCTGTTATGTTGGGGTGCAGGGGTGGGGGTGTTATGTTGGGGTGCAGGGGTGGGGGTGTTATGTTGGGGTGCAGGGGTGGGGCTGTTATGTTGGGGTGCAGGGGTGGTCTGTTATGTTGGGGTGCAGGGGTGGGGCTGTTATGTTGGGGTGCAGGGGTGGTCTGTTATGTTGGGGTGCAGGGGTGGTCTGTTATGTTGGGGTGCAGGGGTGGTCTGTTATGTTGGGTGGTCTGTTATGTTGGGGTGCAGGGGTGGTCTGTTATGTTGGGGTGCAGGGGTGGTCTGTTATGTTGGGGTGCAGGGGTGGGGATGTTATGTTGGGGTGCAGGGGTGGGGATGTTGGGGTGCAGGGGTGGGGATGTTATGTTGGGGTGCAGGGGTGGTCTGTTATGTTGGGGTGCAGGGGTGGGGGTGTTATGTTGGGGTGCAGGGGTGGGCTGTTATATTGGGGTGCAGGGGTGGGGATGTTATGTTGGGGTGCAGGGGTGGGGATGTTATGTTGGGGTGCAGGGGTGGGGATGTTATGTTGGGGTGCAGGGGTGGGCTGTTATGTTGGGGTGCAGGGGTGGGGGTGTTATGTTGGGGTGCAGGGTTGGGCTGTTATGTTGGGGTGCAGGGGTGGGCTGTTATGTTGGGGTGCAGGGGTGGGGGTGTTATGTTGGGGTGCAGGGGTGGGCTGTTATGTTGGGGTGCAGGGGTGGGGGTGTTATGTTGGGGTGCAGGGGTGGGGGTGTTATGTTGGGGTGCAGGGGTGGGGATGTTATGTTGGGGTGCAGGGGTGGGGATGTTATGTTGGGGTGCAGGGGTGGGGATGTTATGTTGGGGTGCAGGGGTGAGCTGTTATGTTGGGGTGCAGGGGTGGGGATGTTATGTTGGGGTGCAGGGGTGGGGATGTTATGTTGGGGTGCAGGGGTGGGGATGTTATGTTGGGGTGCAGGGGTGGGCTGTTATGTTGGGGTGCAGGGGTGGGCTGTTATGTTGGGGTGCAGGGGTGGGGATGTTATGTTGGGGTGCAGGGGTGGGGATGTTATGTTGGGGTGCAGGGGTGGGCTGTTATGTTGGGGTACAGGGGTGGGGATGTTATGTTGGGGTGCAGGGGTGGGCTGTTATGTTGGGGTGCAGGGGTGGGGATGTTATGTTGGGGTGCAGGGTGGGGATGTTATGTTGGGGTGCAGGGGTGGGGATGTTATGTTGGGGTGCAGGGGTGGGCTGTTATGTTGGGGTGCAGGGGTGGGGATGTTATGTTGGGGTGCAGGGGTGGGGATGTTATGTTGGGGTGCAGGGGTGGGGATGTTATGTTGGGGTGCAGGGGTGGGGCTGTTATGTTGGGGTGCAGGGGTGGGCTGTTATGTTGGGGTGCAGGGGTGGGGGTGTTGGGGTGCAGGGGTGGTCTGTTATGTTGGGGTGCAGGGGTGGGCTGTTATGTTGGGGTGCAGGGGTGGGGGTGTTATGTTGGGGTGCAGGGGTGGTCTGTTATGTTGGGGTGCAGGGGTGGTCTGTTATGTTGGGGTGCAGGGGTGGGGGCGTATGTTGGGGTGCAGGGGTGGGCTGTTATGTTGGGGTGCAGGGGTGGGGCTGTTATGTTGGGGTGCAGGGGTGGGCTGTTATGTTGGGGTGCAGGAGTGGGGCTGTTATGTTGGGGTGCAGGAGTGGGGCTGTTATGTTGGGGTGCAGGGGTGGGCTGTTATGTTGGGGTGCAGGGGTGGGGGTGTTATGTTGGGGTGCAGGGGTGGGGGTGTTATGTTGGGGTGCAGGGGTGGGGGTGTTGGGGTGCAGGGGTGGGCTGTTATGTTGGGGTGCAGGGGTGGGGGTGTTATGTTGGGGTGCAGGGGTGGGGGTGTTGGGGTGCAGGGGTGGGGCTGTTATGTTGGGGTGCAGGGGTGGGGGTGTTGGGGTGCAGGGGTGGGTTGTTATGTTGGGGTGCAGGGATGGGCTGTTATGTTGGGGTGCAGGGGTGGGCTGTTATGTTGGGGTGCAGGGGTGGGGGTGTAGTGATGGGTGCAAGTGTGCAGGGGAGAGCTTGGAGGGAGTGTTAGGGTGGAGGGGGAGGGTTGGTGGTGCAGGTGTGGGTTGCAGTGACCGGGGGGGGGGAGGGGGATCAATGGTGGGCTGTTAGTTGATTGCCTATCTTGTTTACCTGAATTTATTTGATGTATTTCTTATGTATGTGATTTTAGATTTTGTTAAGCCTTATGGAACCGAGTTTAACTGCCTCTGTACTTGTTAGCTACGTTTGGAAGGTGGTTCCTTGAGCAAAGGAAGTTGATAGAGTTGAAGGAATAGTGGTTGAGGGAATGTGCACATGGTGGTGGTCAGTTGTAGTGTGTTGTGAGGTGTTGACGGGTGTGAGGGAGGCATGTGAGGGCAGCCCAGGCGGCCACTGACCCTCCTCTTGACCCTCACTACTCTCCTCTCCTCTACTGGTGGTGGCGGTGGCGGTGTGATGTGAGCACCTTGCTGGAGGGAGGACGACTCCATGTGGTGCGTCTCTCCCGCTGTGCCCACCCTCCTCCTCCTCCCCCCTTCCAATACCTATCCCCCCTCCCCCCGCACCAGTCCCCCCCCCCCCCTCCATACCCCAAGCCTCCCCGCCAGCCATCGGCCAATCCCGGCTGTTGTAGTCTTAGGTGTTTGTCAACTATTATACGCGTTTCCTGTTGTGTTGAGGGAGCCAGAGGAGTACATTGTGGTGTAGGGCGGGTGTGTGGGTGGGTGTGGGTGTTGTGGTGTGTGTGGTCTAGGGCAAGGAGGTGTGGTATGGGTGTGTGCGGTGTAGTGGTGTGGCAACAGCGCAGGGCGCGGGGGGTGTGGTGGTGCCTGATGCCCAGTGCCACAGCCGCCGGGGTCCCGTGCCCATCTCTCGCTGCCCTCTCCGCCCAGCCTTCTGCTGCCCCCGCCAGTGTTGTGGTGTCGAGCGCGGCGCCTCGCCCTCACTACCACCCTTAACTCGTGTGACACGGTACTGACACGGCCGCCACCATGGCACGGAGGCCATGGTGAGCCGCCGGCCCTCCACCACCACCACCACTACCACCACAGTTGAGCGGCACTGGTGACGTGTGCACGCCAGCCCTCCACGCCACACACCCCACGCCACACAGCCATGCCTTGTAGCTGCTTCGGCAAGAAAGACAAGAAATGCGGCGTGGCGGCCGAGGAAAAATACCGTCCAAGGGACTCGAACTCTCGCGAGCGGGAACCGCCATCGGTGGCGGCCCCTTCCCAGGCCCCGCCACCCGCCGCCACCCTGCCGCCGCAGCCGCCTCTCACGCCCACCGCGGGCGGAGACGCGCGCCTGCGGCCAGAGGACGACCCGGATAAAGCCAATCGTCGGAGAGATGTTGTGGCTTCCTTCTACAGCGACCAGTGCGAGTTGATAGGTTTTAAGGCGACAGGTTCGAGGCCTCCTTCAACACACGTGGGCAGCACCGTGGACGGCCCCGCTGCCACCTCGTCCCCGGCCGCGTCCTCGCCAGGCTCAACACGCTCGGCCGCCTCTTGCCGGGCCGAGCTGGCCGAGAAACGTCGAGAATTCTTCAAGCAGCTGACGTTGGAGGACGACAACTCGTCGTGTGGGGGCGGTTCTCGGCCCATCTCGCGGCTGACAGACCCGGGTTGCCACACCACCCCCCGCCACTCCCACTACCAGGACCCCCACCTCCACCACTCCCTCCCACACCCTCCAAAACCCACAGCCAGAGCCCTCAAGTATTCCCTGCCTCTCACGCCCTCTCCTCCAGCGTCGGAGGAAACTCAACCGTTACTGCAACCAACCAACCAAGAAGACGACGAGGAGATCACCGGCAGCCGCGAGGCTCCGCAGGTGCCTGCAGGAGCCTCTGAGCCTCCGGGGCAAGGCTGGGGGGTAGTGGAGGCGCCTGCCTGTGTAGTCGAGCCGCCCCAGGACATTCCCCAGCAGACACACAGACCAGGTTCATCAAGTTCCTCGTCTGCAGACCAATCTTCGTCAGAAGTTGCCAGGGAGCCTCTGCTGCAGCTGTCTGCTGAGACTCTGGGCGAGGATAGTGTGTGGCAGAGTCCAGAGCAGCGGGACGGAGAACCTCCAACTGGAGGTCGCTCACAGGAACTCATTCGTGTGTCTTCGCCAACTGATCTTTCGCAGTTGCTTGCAGGTGTTTCTCATCCGGTGATGGTGGACATACCCACTGATGATAAGTCACAAGTGCTTGTAAGTGTCTCTACCACAGTGGTCGAAGATTCTTCCACTTCAGATAGATCACTAGTTGATGTAAGTGTGCCTAGTTCAGTGGTAATTTTGAATAGTTCAGAAGCTGTTATAAGTGAGCATCTGGCAGAGGGTGAGGCAGACACAGTGAACATTGCACCAGCAGACACGGTGAACACTGCAGCAGCAGCAGACACAGTGAACACTGCAGCAGCAGAAGACAAAGTGAACACTGCAGCAGCAGAAGACAAAGTGAACACTGCAGCAGCAGCAGACACAGTGAACACTGCAGCAGCAGCAGACACAGTGAACACTGCAGCAGCAGCAGACACAGTGAACACTGCAGCAGCAGCAGACACAGTGAACACTGCAGCAGCAGCAGGCACAGTGAACACTGCAGCAGCAGCAGGCACAGTGAACACAGCAGCAGAAGACACAGTGAACACTGCAGCAGCAGAAGACACAGTGAACACTGCAGCAGCAGCAGACACAGTGAACACTGCAGCAGCAGAAGACACAGTGAACCCTGCAGCAGCAGCAGACACAGTGAACACTGCAGCAGCAGCAGGCACAGTGAACACTGCAGCAGAAGCAGGAGAACAGTCTCAGCTGTGCGTGGAGGAGCTGCACTACGTTCACCAAACTTCGGTCCAGTCTGACGACGAGCGTGTCGCAGAAGGTTCGTGTATCCTTATAGATGACGCCTTCCCAGCACAGCCTCAAGAAGCAGCAGGAGCAGGAGGAGGAGGTAACAACCACACCTCCCCGTCACCACCACCACACCTGCAGCGCCACAACAGGCTGGCTGTTGAGGACGAACTTTCCCAGGGCAGCCACATCTCGACCACACCCCAAGAGCTCCCGCCCGCGTCTACAGATGAGGGCTATGATGAGGTGTCTCGCCAGACTGCACTCCACTCTGATTTTCTCGACACTTCACAGCACGACACAGAGGTGATGGTGGCAGACGCAGTAGTACGTCCAGAATTAGAGGAGGTTGTACTGAACAATCACCAAGAACCGGTACACCAGGCCTTGTCATTCACTGTTGACCCCTATTTCCTGACCTCTGCCGAAGAACCGGAAGAACTGCAGATAGATCACATGTTGCATCAGTCAGGGTCTCAGCTTGAAGAGAAACACCTGCCTAAACAACGCCCCCAGCTCCCGGAGGTCTCTCTACAACACCACAGTCAAGCCAAATCCACGGTGGAAATTGTGGAGTGTATTCCCAAGGTGCCGCCGCCACTAGAGTCAACATTACCATTAGGGGCGGCCTCGTCCCACTTGAACACCATCGAAGCTCCTTTGACAGCGACGACTCCGCAGGGCGAGGTGGAGCCTCTGCCACCCGCCCCACCCACTCCACCTTTCGAAGACGAACCTTTACCACCTCCGCCACCCACCCCACCCCTGTTAGATGAACCCCTGCCGCCCGCACCGCCCACTCCACCCATCTCATCGGAACCTCGACTGCCACCAGCTACATGCGGCACCACTCACTTGTCGTCGTCGGTGCTGGAAGACGACGGGCTTGGCTCCGAGATCGACGACGCCCTCAGCTCCCTCGAGTGTCTGAGCGAAGAAGGTAATAGGAACGAGCGAGCAGCAGCTTCATAGTGGTGGGGGAGGGGAAGCCGTGTGTGGTCTTGTGCCTCTCCCTGCGGGTGTGTCCTGCCCCGCCACCACCACCACAACTACCACAACCACCACCACCACCACCAACTACCACAACCACACTACCCATGCCAGTCTGTTTGAATATGTTGTGTGGTGGCCAGTGTGGGTGAGTGGGCCCGCGCCTGCAGGCAGCCTCACTGGTGTCCACGTGTAACCGTTCTACTGGCAAAATAAACTTATTTAGCTAGTCCCGTGTTTTGTTGTCCCCAGCCACTGTATAGTGTAGTGTACTGCCGCAGTGTGGCGCCCCGCGCGGCACTCCTGGGGTCGTCGCTTGAGGCTAGGAAGGTGGTGGTGGGCCAGGTGCCCGAGTAGCTCCCTTCACTAAGGTAACGCTTGCTAGTGGTGCTCTTGCCACGCATTTTGCTAACGTACTTCCTCAGTTCATAACTTAATTACTTGAGCAGCTCGCCGCCGCCACCTTCCCGCTCATCACTGCCATAATATTGTGCCTTTGGAGCTAGTAAACTAATAACTAGCGTTAGTATAAATTAACTAATGGAGAGCTTTAACGCTTGAGACTAATTCGTAGCAGTAGGAGAGGACCTCCGTGGGAGCACCGCCTGGCGTGACCAAACACTGGTCGTGGTTCAATGAGCCGGGTGTGGCAGTAGAAGGTACAGTATGGGGATGTTACTTGATAGTGTGACAACACGAGGGACAAAACATGGCTCAACACAAACTGTGGACGGAGCACATTGTCTACTTTACTGGCCGCCACGAAATTATCTGTATATCCAACACTTATCTACCGGAAATTGTTCTCCATCAATATCTAAACTCTTTACACCATCTCCCTCTCTACAACATCCTCCCCCCCCCCCACACAACACCCCATTTCTCCCAATACTGTATTTCCATCAGTGCAAAATACCATGTTTTCATACATTGGAAAATCTAACATTATTACCTTGTAAAGTTGAGGTCAATTACAAGTGAGGTTGATACAACATGGACGGGAGAGTCACAAGGTGTCCTTCACTGGGGAGTGTTGGCCAGCATCGTCTGGGGTCCGCCGGGGTCCGCCGGGGTCCGCCGGGGTCCGCCGGGGTCCGTCAGGGGTCCGCCGGGGTCCGCCTGGGGTCCGTCAGGGGTCAAGGTCTCCACAAACCTCACAGATAATCAAAGTTATATACATCGTCTTGATGTCTAGCATTATTATTATTAACTGTGGTGTTCTTATGTGGTGTGTCCTCTAGGGCTACCACTGGCTGGCTGGCTGGCTGGCTGGCTCCTCTAGGCTACCACTGGCTGGCTGGCTGGCTGGCTCCTCTAGGCTACCACTGGCTGGCTGGCTGGCTGGCTCCTCTAGGCTACCACTGGCTGGCTGGCTGGCTGGCTCCTCTAGGCTACCACTGGCTGGCTGGGTCCTCTAGGCTACCACTGGCTGGGTCCTCTAGGGCTACCACTGGCTGGCTGGCTGGCTGGCTCCTCTAGGCTACCACTGGCTGGCTGGGTCCTCTAGGCTACCACTGGCTGGCTGGCTGGCTGGCTGGCTCCTCTAGCCTAGCTGGGTCGAGACCTCACTAGCACACCGTTATAGGCCTAAGGATGGTCCTTGTTCAGTCTGCATTTGTTCAACTTTGATTTTTTGTCTATTTGTAAAAAAAAATAGTATTATTGATTGCTGTATTTACAACAACAATGTATGTGTGCCACAGTGGGCGACTGTGTCCCACAGTGGACGACTGTGTCCCACAGTGGACGACTGTGTCCCACAGTGGACGACTGTGTCCCACAGTGGACGACTGTGTCCCACAGTGGACGACTGTGTACCACAGTGGACGACTGTGTCCCACAGTGGACGACTGTGTCCCACAGTGGACGACTGTGTACCACAGTGGACGACTGTGTCCCACAGTGGACGACTGTGTACCACAGTGGACGACTGTGTCCCACAGTGGACGACTGTGTACCACAGTGAAGAACAGTGGGCGACTGTGGACCTTAGTGGACCTAATGTCCAATATTCTCCATGAATATCGACAGTGTTTATGGTGGAACCTATTAACGTGGGAGTCTGGTGGTGGTTGTAGTCACTTAACGTGGGAGTCTGGTGGTGGTGTAGTCACTTAACGTGGGAGTCTGGTGGTGGTGTAGTCACTTAACGTGGGAGTCTGGTGGTGGTTGTAGTCACTTAACGTGGGAGTCTGGTGGTGGTGTAGTCACTTAACGTGGGAGTCTGGTGGTGGTGTAGTCACTTAACGTGGGAGTCTGGTGGTGGTGTAGTCACTTAACGTGGGAGTCTGGTGGTGGTTGTAGTCACTTAACGTGGGAGTCTGGTGGTGGTGTAGTCACTTAACGTGGGAGTCTGGTGGTGGTGTAGTCACTTAACGTGGGAGTCTGGTGGTGGTGTAGTCACTTAACGTGGGAGTCTGGTGGTGGTTGTAGTCACTTAACGTGGGTGTCTGGTGGTGGTTGTAGTCACTTAACGTGGGAGTCTGGTGGTGGTGTAGTCACTTAACGTGGGAGTCTGGTGGTGGTGTAGTCACTTAACGTGGGTGTCTGGTGGTGGTTGTAGTCACTTAACGTGGGAGTCTGGTGGTGGTGTAGTCACTTAACGTGGGAGTCTGGTGGTGGTGTAGTCACTTAACGTGGGAGTCTGGTGGTGGTGTAGTCACTTAACGTGGGAGTCTGGTGGTGGTTGTAGTCACTTAACGTGGGTGTCTGGTGGTGGTTGTAGTCACTTAACGTGGGAGTCTGGTGGTGGTTGTAGTCACTTAACGTGGGAGTCTGGTGGTGGTGTAGTCACTTAACGTGGGAGTCTGGTGGTGGTGTAGTCACTTAACGTGGGTGTCTGGTGGTGGTTGTAGTCACTTAACGTGGGTGTCTGGTGGTTGTTGTAGTCACTTAACGTGGGAGTCTGGTGGTGGTGTAGTCACTTAACGTGGGAGTCTGGTGGTGGTTGTAGTCACTTAACGTGGGAGTCTGGTGGTGGTGTAGTCACAACGTGGGAGTCTGGTGGTGGTGTAGTCACTTAACGTGGGAGTCTGGTGGTGGTGTAGTCACTTAACGTGGGAGTCTGGTGGTGGTGTAGTCACTTAACGTGGGAGTCTGGTGGTGGTGTAGTCACTTAACGTGGGAGTCTGGTGGTGGTGTAGTCACTTAACGTGGGAGTCTGGTAGTGGTGTAGTCACTTAACGTGGGAGTCTGGTGGTGGTGTAGTCACTTAACGTGGGAGTCTGGTAGTGGTGTAGTCACTTAACGTGGGAGTCTGGTGGTGGTGTAGTCACTTAACGTGGGAGTCTGGTGGTGGTGTAGTCACTTAACGTGGGAGTCTGGTGGTGGTGTAGTCACTTAACGTGGGAGTCTGGTGGTGGTTGTAGTCACTTAACGTGGGAGTCTGGTGGTGGTGTAGTCACTTAACGTGGGAGTCTGGTGGTGGTGTAGTCACTTAACGTGGGAGTCTGGTGGTGGTGTAGTCACTTAACGTGGGAGTCTGGTGGTGGTGTAGTCACTTAACGTGGGAGTCTGGTGGTGGTGTAGTCACTTAACGTGGGAGTCGGGTGGTGGTGTAGTCACTTAACGTGGGAGTCTGGTGGTGGTGTAGTCACTTAACGTGGGAGTCTGGTGGTGGTGTAGTCACTTAACGTGGGAGTCTGGGGAGTTGTTATAATCATAGCACTTAACGTGGGAGTATTTTTTTATATTAAAGAGGATGGAGAGACACAGACGAAGAGGAAAGTTTAGAAGTAGGAAATACTTTTTTTTTATACTTATAAATAAATAAATTATAAATATAAATACAAATATAAAATATAAAAGTATATAAATATATACTTTTATAAATACTTAGTTGTATTTTTCTACCACAGACGTGGCCAGACATTTATAATGCTAACCAGCATGTATACATTTTCTTCTGTCCTCCAAGGACAGGGTGAGAGATGTGTTGAACATATAGTTCAAGGGTTTATTGAACAATCAACCACAGAAGGTGATTCGGTGGGTTTAAAATGCTAAGCTAACCTACATACGTAAATACATAGATACACAGATTTACGTATGCCCTACATGAAGTGTTTGATGTGTCTTTTACATAGTGGGAAATACAGTGAGAGGTATGAAAGCAGGCGGGCTGTCCGCCTTGCTGACACCATGTGTGGGTGTTGGCAGCTAAGCTAAGCTGGCTCCCTCTTGTCAGGGAGCTGTGAGTGTGTGAGAGGTTCTTCACATGTGTTTCACCATATGTGGATGTCTATAGATGAATACTGTGTAGCATTCATGTATACACATTCCAATAGTTCCACACATGTTTTGTTCAAGGCTATTTATTATATTATTGTTTATTTACATACTTTTTTAACCATTTATTTTGGGGAGGGATTTCTGGTCAGTATATCATCTGGGAATTATGTATTGTGGGGCGGGGTTTTCATCTAGAGAATCGAGGCTCTTGGGCCACCAGCTGTGGGAGCGGGGCGTCTCATCTTGGAGCAATCTTTCTAACATTGGGTCCTCTAACTTTTCGATGGTGTTCCACACCCTGATTGCTTGGTGCTGCAGTCTGATGTTTAGTGGCTGTGTGTTCAGGAGTTCATGGAGCTCCTGGATTGTCTGATCATATGGTGGACGGTGTTTTGTTGCTCTCCTTAGCGCCTTATTTTGCACTGCTTGCAGTTTCTGCATGTTAGTTTTCTTTATGGTGTGTAGTGGTACTGGGGGATATTCTAGATGCGGCCGAACTAGAGCCTTATATAGGTGGATCTGAATGTTAGTACTGAGGCTTCGGAATCTTCTCAGTTTTCCTAAGGCTGATTTGGCTTTGTTTAGTCGGTCCCTTACATGAATTTGTATCCCTGTTCTATTTATCATAAGTCCCAGTATTCTGCCTACCTCCGCATATTGGATCGGGCGGCTGTCAAGGATAATGGGATCTGGATTTCTTTTTGCAATGTGTATTATCTGGAACTTTTGTTTATTCTAATTTTCCATTGCTTCTCAAAGTTGTTTTTGAGTTCAATTGCTGCCTTGGCCTTGTCGGCTAGTAGCGGCTTTGATGGGCCCGGTTGGCATATTATTTGTGTGACATCATCAGCGTATGTGATGTATTCTTCATGCTGGGGTTGGGGTAGGTCAGCTGTATATATGTTGAATAGAGTGGGGGAGAGGCAGCTGCCTTGTGGTACTCCACTTTTCAGTTCTATTACGTCACCCAAGTAGCTGCCGATATTAAGCCTAGCAGTTCTGTTGTCTATAACGCTATAGTGTGTGGGAGTCTGGTGGTGGTTATATATGGCTCTTAACGTGGGAGTCTTGTAGTGTTTATATGGCCCTTAACGTGGGAGTCTGGTGGTGGTTATATATGGCCCTTAACGTGGGAGTCTTGTAGTGTTTATATGGCCCTTAACGTGGGAGTCTGGTGGTGGTTATATATGGCTCTTAACGTGGGAGTCTTGTAGTGTTTATATGGCCCTTAACATGGGAGTCTTGTAGTGTTTATATGGCCCTTAACGTGGGAGTCTGGTGGTGGTTATATATGGCCCTTAACGTGGGAGTCTTGTAGTGTTTATATGGCCCTTAACATGGGAGTCTTGTAGTGTTTATATGGCCCTTAACGTGGGAGTCTGGTGGTGGTTATATATGGCCCTTAACGTGGGAGTCTTGTAGTGTTTATATGGCCCTTAACATGGGAGTCTTGTAGTGTTTATATGGCCCTTAACGTGGGAGTCTGGTGGTGGTTATATATGGCCCTTAACGTGGGAGTCTTGTAGTGTTTATATGGCCCTTAACGTGGGAGTCTGGTGGTGGTTATATATGGCCCTTAACGTGGGAGTCTTGTAGTGTTTATATGGCCCTTAACGTGGGAGTCTGGTGGTGGTTATATATGGCCCTTAACGTGGGAGTCTGGTGGTGGTTATATATGGCCCTTAACCGTGGGAGTCTGGTGGTGGTTATATATGGCCCTTAACCGTGGGAGTCTGGTGGTGGTTATATATGGCCCTTAACGTGGGAGTCTGGGGGTGGTTATATATGGCCCTTAATGTGGGAGTCTGGGGGTGGTTATATATGGCCCTTAATGTGGGAGTCTGGGGGTGGTTATATATGGCCCTTAATGTGGGAGTCTGGTGGTGGTTATATATGGCCCTTAATGTGGGAGTCTGGGGGTGGTTATATATGGCCCTTAATGTGGGAGTCTGGGGGTGGTTATATATGGCCCTTAATGTGGGAGTCTGGGGGTGGTTATATATGGCCCTTAATGTGGGAGTTTGGGGGTGGTTATATATGGCCCTTAATGTGGGAGTCTGGGGGTGGTTATATATGGCCCTTAATGTGGGAGTCTGGGGGTGGTTATATATGGCCCTTAATGTGGGAGTCTGGTGGTGGTTATATATGGCCCTTAATGTGGGAGTCTGGGGGTGGTTATATATGGCCCTTAATGTGGGAGTCTGGTGGTGGTTATATATGGCCCTTAATGTGGGAGTCTGGTGGTGGTTATATATGGCCCTTAATGTGGGAGTCTGGGGGTGGTTATATATGGCCCTTAATGTGGGAGTCTGGGGGTGGTTATATATGGCCCTTAATGTGGGAGTCTGGGGGTGGTTATATATGGCCCTTAAGGTGGGAGTCTGGGGGTGGTTATATATGGCCCTTATGGCCCTTAAGGTGGGAGTCTGGGGGTGGTTATATATGGCCCTTAACGTGGGAGTCTTGTGTTTATATATGGCCCTTAATGTTTAAATTACACAATTGTGTAACCAGGTTGAGAAGAATGTTGGTTGCTTAGGTAAAGGAACTGTGGGAGTCAGTTGCTGAACCCCCACACTGTACCTCTGTGACCCCCCCCCCCCCACCACCCCCCACGGGATGGGTATGGGGTGCATAATAACTGAACTAAACCTTAGGAAGAGGACGGGTAGGGACAGGAAGGCCATGGATGGGAAGCGGGAGGGGAACCATAGCCTCACACAAGTGTGTGTGGGGGGGGGGGGGGGAGAGGGAGGGGGGGGGGAGTTGGAGCCTGCTCTGAAATGTTGGTGGGATGAGGAGGGGGAGGGGGGTGCTGCCAAGGTCATACCCTCTCCCTGTCCCTCCCTACCCCCCTACCCCATCGACCACGCCCAGCTCCGTGCCCGCCCCTCACCTATCCCCTCACCGTCCCTACCTCCCCTCTCACCTTCTCGCTCTACCCCTGCTGAGTCTGCCTCATTTTACACATCTTAACCCCCCCCCCCCCATACATCATGGGGAGGGAGGAATGGGGCTGCCTTAACCAATGCAACCCCCCCCCATCCCGGCTCATAACACTCCCTCCTTAATCCCGTTTCTATTATTCTTTCTATACTCCCTCTTATACTATCTTCACATGGCCCTTCTCTCTTCAGTTACTGTAACCTGCCCTACCTGCTTGCTGGATACCTGCTTGCTGGATACCTGCTTGCTGGATACCTGCTTGCTGGATACCTGCTTGCTGGATACCTGCTTCCTGGATACCTGGTTGCTGGATACCTGCTTGCTGGATACCTGGTTGTTGGATACCTGCTTGCTGGATACCTGCTTGCTGGATACCTGCTTGCTGGATACCTGCTTGCTGGATACCTGCTTCCTGGATACCTGCTTGCTGGATACCTGCTTCCTGGATACCTGCTTGCTGGATACCTGCTTGCTGGATACCTGCTTGCTGGATACCTGCTTGCTGGATACCTGCTTGCTGGATACCTGCTTCCTGGATACCTGCTTGCTGGATACCTGCTTCCTGGATACCTGCTTGCTGGATACCTGCTTGCTGGATACCTGCTTGCTGGATACCTGCTTGCTGGATACCTGCTTGCTGGATACCTGCTTCCTGGATACCTGCTTGCTGGATACCTGCTTGCTGGATACCTGCTTGCTGGATACCTGCTTGCTGGATACCTGCTTGCTGGATACCTGCTTGCTGGATACCTGCTTCCTGGATACCTGCTTGCTGGGGTTCTGGGAGCTCTTCTACTCCCCAAGTCCGGCCCGAGGCCAGGCTTGACTTGTGAGAGTTTGGTCCACCAGGCTGTTGCTTGGAGCGGCCAGCAGGCCCACATATACCTGGTTGATGGGGTTCTGGGAGTTCTTCTACTCCCCAAGCCCGGCCCGAGGCCAGGCTTGACTTGTGAGAGTTTGGTCCACCAGGCTGTTGCTTGGAGCGGCCCGCAGGCCCACATATACCTGGTTGATGGGGTTCTGGGAGTTCTTCTACTCCCCAAGCCCGGCCCGAGGCCAGGCTTGACTTGTGAGAGTTTGGTCCACCAGGCTGTTGCTTGGAGCGGCCCGCAGGCCCACATATACCTGGTTGATGGGGTTCTGGGAGTTCTTCTACTCCCCAAGTCCGGCCCGAGACCAGGCTTGACTTGTGAGAGTTTGGTCCACCAGGCTGTTGTTTAGAGCGGCCCGCAGGCCCACATACCCACCACAGCCCGGCCCGAGGCCAGGCTTGACTTGTGAGAGTTTGGTCCACCAGGCTGTTGCTTGGAGCGGCCCGCAGGCCCACATACCCACCACAGCCCGATTGGTACGGAACTTCTCTTAGAAAACAGTCCAGTTTTCTCTTGAAGATGTCCACGGTTGTTCCGGCAATATTTCTTATGCTCGCTGGGAGAACGTTGAACAACCGCGGACCTCTGATGTTTATACAGTGTTCTCTGTGCCTATGGCACCTCTGCTCTTCACTTCCCTATAAAAGTGCGCTCTCTCCCCCCCTCCCCCCCCCCTCCCCCCCCCCCTCCCCCTCCCCCCTCTCCCCTCCCCCCTCTCCCCCTCTCCCCCTCTCCCCTCCCCCCTCCCCCCTCCCCCCTGTCCCCCCTCCCCCCTCTCCCCCCTCCCCCCTCTCCCCCCTCCCCCCTCTCCCCCCTCCCCCCCTCTCCCCCTCCCCCCTCTCCCCCTCCCCCCTCTCCCCCCCCCCCCCCCCCCTCCCCCCCCTCCCCCCCCTCCCCCCTCTCCCCCCTCCCCCCTCTCCCCCCTCCCCCCCCCTCTCCCAGTACTCATCTTGTATACATAGTTGGTGTTCCCGGGATGAGCTCGGGCTCTCAGGTCAAGGGTCTCGACCCCTAAGTGATCCATGTATTGACTGTTGAGCGTATTGCTCTCTCATACATGGAGTACATTTACTGCTACGGTTGGCCTCCACTACCATGCATGTTCCAGCTCTCTCTCTCTCTCTCTCTCTCTCTCTCTCTCTCTCTCTCTCTCTCTCTCTATACTCTACTTTGAGAGAGAGAGCTCTCTCTCTCTTTGTGTACTATCCATGTTAAATAGTCTGTCCCTTGTCTGCCCAGTGTATTTCCCTAGAGTATTTTGTAGTTGGTAATCATGTCTTCCGTGTTTCTTCTCTCTCGCAATGATTAACTCATTTAACCTTTCCTCTTAACTTGTACCTTTCATCTCTGAGACTAGTCTGGTGGCATATTTCTGAACTTTGTTCGGCATAATTTGTGTTTAACGAAATATTAACTCTTCGCTAGTGCTGTATATTTAAAAAAATGGTCTGAAGTAATTGGTATGCAAGGTCAGTAACGACTTCCTGTTCAGACTACTAAAGTCAGTTCTTACGTTGGCCAACTTTGCATATTCAGCTGAAGATACTCGTTTGATGTGGACTTGTGGTGATATATTGAGTGTAATATCCCCGATTGTATGGAGCGCTCTGTCTGACCCGAGGAGGAAATTGAAATAAGTTTATTGAGGTAAAATACACACAAAGGGATGAGGTAGCTCAAGCTATTCTCACCCCGTTATCCCAACGAGGCGTTCCTCCAAGTGTGGGACTGTGTCCGGCCTCCTCCTTGTCCTCCTAGTCCCAAGACGTTACTCTTGCATGAGTTAAATACTGGAGACTACTAGCTGGACCATCATTTTATGCAGGTCAGAGTGTAGCTCTCTGCAGTCCTCCATCGTATTCAGCCCCAGCAAACATGAAGAAGACCTTGCTCGTGTGGCATGTTGTTGAGACATATTAGGACTAGGCTTGGCGCCAGTACTGACCCCTGTGGGACGCCACTAGTAACAACACCACTCTGAGAGGTCTCCTCTTACCGACCCCCTCTAATTACTCGAAGCTGCCCAGATCTACTCGAAGCTACCCAGATCTACTCGAAGCTACCTAGATCTACCCGAAGCTGCCCAGATCTACTCAAAGCTACCTAGCATTACGTAAGTAATGAAGAAATATGATACATTTACTCACTATAATATTGGTGCTGAACGTAGAACTTGAAAATTCATATTTTTACTCTGAAATAATATGATTTTATAACGAAATTAGACGAACTTAAGTGGTAGTTGACGCCGCAGGAAGTCGACGCTCCAAGTGACAGTGTTGTGGCTTGGGTAATTAGATGGACCCAATCTCGTTATAAAATAGTATTAATTCAGAGTAAAAAAAATGCTTTTCATGTTCTACGTTGAGCACCAACATTATAGTGAGTAAATATATCATAGTTCTTCATTATTTATATGATGCTAGGAAGCTTTGGGTAGCTTTGGGTACCGCTGTATGCTGACTAACACCCAGGTACCTATTTTACTGCTAGGTAACAGGGGCATAGGGTGAAAGAAACTCTGCCTATTGTTTCTCGCCGGCGCCCGGGATCGAACCCAGGACCACAGGATCACAAGTCCAGCGTGCTGTCCGCTCGGCCGACCGGTTCCCAGGTGTCCTTGTCTCTGTCCACTACCTGAGACCATTGATGTGGTTCCTGTTGTATACTCGGTGAATCCTTCCCTGTCTGGGGTTGACAGTTCTTGCACTGGCCAATCCCTCCTGATCACTTGCACTGGCCAATCCCTCCTGATCAACGGGGCCACTTCCCGCCAAACACACACCGAAACTACGACGTTGGTACAACGTTCGAACAAGTTTCAACACCTCCTAACCAGTTATAACAACCAATATAGCAAGTTGTAACAACGTTCTAATACGTCATAAACACGTTAAGCCAAGATGTAACAACTTTATTACAAGTTGTAACAAGCGGAAAATAGAGACAGTTACGGTTTGTGTTTCCAGGGTTGTGTGGTAGTGGCGGTGCAGATAAGTGACTGAATGTCAACATTGTTTTATGAGGTATTGTTAACATAACTGAAGTGCTTTGTAAATTAAATATAAATAAGTAAGTCCAGATCGCAGAAGTGCTCAAGAGTGGAGTTTACGAGCGCGAGACGGTCAGCTTTGAATGAGTCAGCCCTCCAGCGTAAACACTTATCCTTGGCATATTCAGACTTGGTTGGGATTGTGCAAATAAACAAAGGCTGACTATGCCCGCCCTTTCCCTTTAACATCCAGCGAGCCCTTGAGCGCCGTCGTCCAAACAGGTGAGTCAGCTGATAAACACAAGGAACGTGACTCATACGTCAGCTGACGATCAGAACACCGGAAATGTGACAGCAGCAGCAGCAGCAGCAGCAGCAGCAGCAGCAGCATCAGCTGACGCTCAGAACACTGAAGATTCGTACACGGTGGTTTAGTTAGACATTACGTACGCTGACGGGCCCGTCGTGGGTGTCGGGGAAGTTAACTGAACTGATCGACGAACATTGCTGCATTGATTATCAATTGTTTCAGCTGATCGAACACTTCTTGTTTTTCCTCAGAAAAAAAAGGTGTGTGTTGGCAGGTGTATAAGCTAAGCTTGCTCTCTCTTGTCAGGTGTGTGTGTGTGTGTGTGTGTGTGTGTGTGTGTGTGTGTGTGTGTGTGTGTGTGTGTGTGTGTGTGTGTGTGTGTGTGTGTGTGTGTGTGTGTGTTCCCCACCCCCCCTCACTGCATCCGCACTCTGCCTCCTCCCACCCCCCTTCACCCCCTCCCACCCGACTCCCCCCTTGGCTCTCGCCCGCCAAATGTGAAATACCCCGCGCACTGACCCGTTTCACATCTCTCGTATTGTTTAAAAATAGCTATTCCTTCACCTTGCCATCGTGCAAGCAACACGTGACCTCCACACCACCAAAGTCATCTTTAATTTCCATCCCTTTATATATAATAGAGAAGACATGAGTGAAACACTCGCCACCAGGTTGGTATTACTGCTACACGACTATGTGCGTGTCTCCCAAGCCTCATGTGAAGGATCGCGTCTATGTATTCCACACATTCCTTAACAGTAAGAGCAGAGTGCAAGTTATCTTGAGATGATTTCGGGGCTTTTAGTGTCCCCGCGGCCCGGTCCTGGACCAGGAAGTTATATAATATTTCAGCAGACTCTAGAAGCATGATGTCCTAGTTAACTAACCACATTCTCCTGTGAGCACAAACATGTTAGGTGTTATCTAACTCATTTACTTACTCGTACATGTGTAACTAATCCATATCAAATCATATTACTTGTTTAGTTGTATCTGAATGTTCTCTGTACATTACAACAGTAATCAATCTCTCGTTTCGTACACTTATAAACTTGCTACTATTCTACAATTTTACAAGTCTTGTTGAGACAAATCAAAGACATGTTACTAACTCAGCCTTTTTTTAACATAATTTCACTAAGACGCATCTTCCTGTAACATCTTTCATTAAGACATTACAAGTTACTCTTTATCAGTTATCAGCATAATGTTCAATGTTAAACTTTTATTATGTACACTCACTGGTGATTGGATGAGTGTGTACACTTACTGGCGACGGGATGAGTGTGTACACTTACTGGTGATGGGATGAGTGTGTACACTTACTGGTGATGGGATGAGTGTGTACACTTACTGGTGATTGGATGAGTGTGTACACTTACTGGCGACGGGATGAGTGTGTACACTTACTGGTGATGGGATGAGTGTGTACACTTACTGGTGATGGGATGAGTATGTACACTTACTGGTGACGGGATGAATGTGTACACTTACTGGTGACGGGATGAGTGTGTACACTTACTGGTGATGGGATGAGTGTGTACACTTACTGGTGATGGGATGAGTGTGTACACTTACTGGCGACGGGATG